GGCTAAAAAGCAAGACAAATTAAATAACATTTCACTCTTACGCTAAGTTCCGTACCCCGAACTTACCGTATGTGCAGAAGAAAACAGCCTGTCGTGCTGGTTATCCCGCCGATTTGTGCCGTTGCTCTCTTGCGTTCAGCGGAGAAAACACGAAGTGCAAAGCTGCAAGTGTATTGTAGATTCACAATATGAGCCGTAGTAAGGCTGCGAACAGCACACAGGCGCTATAGAAGCGAGTATTGCAGCACGTTTGCTCGTAAGCAGCACAGAAGTTTGATTGATTGATTTATATGTGCGGTTTACCGTCCAGAAACCACCATATGATTATGAGAGACACCGCAGAGGAGGGCTCGGAAGTTTCGCTCACCTGGGGTTCTTTAACGTGCACCCAAATCTGAGGATACGGGCCTATAGCATTTTCTCCTCCATCGAAAATGCAGCCGTGATTGGATCCCGCGACCTGCGGGTCAGCAACCGAGTATCTTAGCCACTAGACCACTGCGGTAGGGCAGCACGGAAGTTTCGCTTTTGCAGGTCGTCTATCAGATGGTGGTGGTGGTGCCGCCCGGCGCCTCGGGAATCGGCTCGCCTCCCTCTCGCCGGCGCCCGTTGCGCATGCGCGAGCCGCCGTAGCGTGCCCAACATTGCGAGGACGAGTCCTCTATGCTTCCCTACTTGTGGCTTCCTCCGTCTTCCCGTCATAGGTTCGTTCGATTTACCTTGCACTGCGTGAACCAGTTCCAAGCAGTTCAGAAGAAAGTGCAGCCAGAGCTGAACTCGCGCAGCACCAGTTCAGCGAGTGCCCGCGTAGCGCGACACTGGGAGTAGAGAGTGCAGTCAGTGTATATCGCCGGTAGCGTGCCGGCGGCGCCGTGTTTCTTTCTTGTTTTTTGTGTACTTGCGTGTGTTTGAAAGCGTTGGTGCGCAAGCTGGCCGATTTCGTCAGAAAAAATAAACAAACAAACCATGGATTCCGTCGCAACATGTGCAGTTATTGGGCAAAGCTTCACAAAACTGATAAGAGTTGCAGTTGTTGCAACTCAACGGAATACCAAGGTACTGCGAAGAAGTCGTGAGGTAGTACCTTGACGATAGTTACAGCGCGAGAACAAAACGACGACACAGAGACAAGAAGGACACGAATGACATGAGCGTGTCCTTCTTGTCTCTGTGTCGACATTTTGTTTTCGCGCTATAACTAACGTCATGCCATACCAACTAGCCCAAGCTGCCACACTTCTTAGTGCCTCAATGTTTTCCTAACCTGACAGTAGGGCGACCAATTTTAAGTGCTGAAAAGACGTGTTTAGTGGTTTCGTGCTGCTTGGGTGCACAGCGCAATATACGTACGCCTTGGCCGCCTGCTTCGACCGTACTGTACACAGTTGTGTCGAGGGAACCTTGAATTTTCTCAACAGCCTAAGTGCGAAAGTTGATGGTTTTCAGCGAGACAGGAGCATCTTTTCAGCAATGATCGAGTTGGGTCTTGTCCTGGGCTTCACTCGCCGCATCCAACGGCGTCATTGCAGCCGGTTGATTGGACGGCCGTGGAAAAAGAAATGGACATGGATATTGTCGACCCAAAGCAGCAAAGCCGGTTTCCTAGCAAAAAGCGACAGCATAGGGCTTCAAAACGCCATATGATGCATAGGTGGCCAATATGTGGGTATCAAATGGGTTAACGAAACTCCTACAGCAACGCGGTTCCCGTCTCAATTCTGTATCGAGGTCAACCTTGAGAGGACGACGCTTATACACCTAATTCGTCTGCTACTATGGCTTCAACAGCGCCACTGGTGTAATCGAGCTGCACTACCTCCAAACAACGGAGTGCTCTAAGTTCAGTGCAAGGAATCAAGTTTCCTCCTCGTAGGTCGTGGGATCGAATCCCGGCTGCGGTGGCTGCATTTTCGATGGAGGCGGAAACGTAGGCCCGTGTGCTCAGATTTGGGTGCACATTAAAAAAACCCAGGTGGTCAAAATTCCTGGGGTCCTCCACAACGGCGTCTCTCATAATCGTATGGTGGTTTTGGAACGTTAAACCCTCATATTTAAATTTAAACCCCCAATATTTAAACCCCCAGCTATTTTTTTTGTTCAAAAGTTGATCAAGGAATTCTAATCTAGCTTTTTGTCTTCGCATCTGCAGTAAGGGAATGTTGTTGGCTAGCATTAAATCTGAGGGTGAGTCTAACTTGGAGTACTTGTTGAATACAAATCTAACAGCTTTTCTTTGAATACGCTCAAGAGTGTGTATATTACGTTTTGTATAAGGATCCCATACTATGCTCGCGTACTTTAGTTTTTGCCGCACAATGTCTGTGTAACAAAGTAGTTTAACATTCGTGGGAGCACTTTGAAGTTTATGTTTAAGAAGACATAGTTTACGAAAGGCAGATGAACAAACATCAATATGGAGATTCCAAGATAAGTTGGAAGTGAGTGTCACACCAAGGTATTTGTAGGAGTTTACTTGTTGCAGTGGGGAAGACCCTAATATGTATGTATACTATCGTGGATTCTTTTGGCGAGTGACTAAAAGGCACATACATTTGTTCGCGTTGAGACACATTCCCCATTTGTTGCACCATTCATATATATTGCAAAGACTAGTGCTCAGATCGTTGAAATCGTTAGTGGAACGTATTTTTTTGAACAAAACACAATCATCTGCAAACAATCTTATTTTCACACTAGGGTGAATAACATAAACAATATCATTGCTATACAACAGAAAAAGCAATGGGCCTAACACGCTGCCCTCTGGTACGCCCGATGTGACCGGAAGACAGTCCGAATATTGGCCCCCTACATCAACGTACTGTTCGCGATTATTTAAATACGCAGAAATCCAACAAACGTATATTTCGGGTATACCTATTGTTCTAAGTTTGGAAATGAGTTTACTATGGGGAATTTCATCGAAGGCTTTGCAGAAATTTAAGAAGAGCATATCTGTCCTACCGTGTCTATCGATGTTTATTGCAAGAGAGTGAAACAGTGTGACGAGTTGAGTTACGGTGGATAATCCTTTCCGAAAACCATGTTGGTACATGGTTAATATGGAGCGTTCTTCAATGTACTTGTTTATACTAGTAGCCATGATGTGATCAATAATTTTACAACATTGTGAAGTTAGTGAGATTGGACGGTAATTTCCTAGTGCTAAGCGGTCCGCCTTTTCAAAGATGGGTACAACGCGGGCTGTCCTCCAGTCATTGGGCAGCTGGGAAGACATCAAAGAACAGTGAAAAATAATAACCAAAAACTTTGCTAGAGATAAAGCATATCGTCGTAGAAATACGTTTGGTATGTTATCAGGACCGCAGGATGCCTTAGTTTTTAAATTTAGCAACATAGACACCACGCCAGGATAAGAAATAAACAGTTCTTCAGCATAAGGAAAGGCTGTAGCATTAGATATACAGTTGAAATAAGAAGTGTTGAACACACTCTGAAAATATTGATTAAAATGCCTGGCAATGTCTCTCTGATCGGTGACGTTGGTTCCATCAATTGATTTTTGGGATACAGGTCTTTTCTTTTCACTGATAAAACTCCAGAATTTACTGGGGTCATTTGCAATAAAGTTAATTGATTGATTGATTTGTGGGGTTTAACGTTCCAAAACCACTATAACGCCGTAGTGGAGGGCTCCGGAAATTTCGACCACTTGGGGTTCTTTCACGTGCACCCAAATCTGAGTACACGGGCCTACGACATTTCCGCCTCCATCGGAAATGCAGCCGCCACAGCCGGGATGCAGCCGCCACAGCCGCCACTTGTTTTTAATGAATGGCTTATTTCAGAGGGGGCTACCTTGCACTACAAAAGCGAACGGTCAAGTGCATCATTACGTGAACCAGTTCAGGCAGTGCATAGTGCAGTCGTGCATCGCGCTGTTGAGAGTCCATCTTAATGCGGGACCTTGCGCTCTCTCGGAAACAGCGTGTCGGTTTGGTTATGTTCGGTGTGCACATCGAGCTACCGTAGTGCTTTCGTCACCGCGCTAACCATGGACGCAAACTTGCGCGCGCGTTTGGAGCGAATGACAGCTGAAATGGGTTTCGGCCCATATTCCGATGAACTGCCCTGTGGGACGTACATCACTACCAGTTATGCTGGCGGATATCGCCCCTCCCCCCCCTCACCTCAAGCTGAAATGATGCCACGCTGTCGTCTGTCGACAGCTGCAGTTAGACACCTTCCTCAGTCCGGTGTGATTGCGGCACGTTTTCTCGGCACTTCCTTAGTCCGAGTGCTACTTGCAAATTATGTCAGGCAACTCGAGAGACACTCTCGCACATGTTGTCAGAGGGCTCTGTTATAGCAGCTCGCATGGCAGTAATTGATTGATATGTGGGCTTTAACGTCCCAAAACCACCATATGATTATGAGACACGCCGTAAAGGAGGGCTCCGGAAATTTCGACCACCTGGGTTCTTTAAAACGTGCAACCAAATCTGAACACACGGGCCTACAACATTTCCGCCTTCATCGGAAATGCAGCCGCCGCAGCCGGGATTTGAGCCCGCGACCTGCGGGTCAGCAGCCGAGTACCTTAGCCACAAGACCACCGCGGCGAGGCCTCTTATGGCAGTAGCTCAGGATATTCTAGCGTCGAAGTAGGCAGCTGCTCTGCGCAAATTCAACTTGAAGACACAAGAGTGGGCAGTCCAGCGGGCCCCAGAGGCGGCGACGAGGCAAGACCTTGAAGTCCCCTCATGGGAGACCTGAGCCCTGGTTGTAAACATCGCCGGACTTTAAATAAAGTTGTTTAAATCCATCCATGAATTTGGTTTGTCATCTTGGCGTCATGGTCAGCGGGATGGTCTCCTCTCACTTTGAAAAAGCTGCGTATATGTCACTGGATCTAGAGCTCCAAAGTAGTACCGGTGGAAGATTTATGGGTGTTGTTGAACAATATAAAATCGCAGCGTGTGCGTTTACTAAAACATTACACCATCTTCCCCAAGGGGACCACGAGGTGATGCGGAGCATTGCGGAAGTTTCCAACACATCGTTCACGCGATGCATGGTTACGAACCAAGCTAACATTGCAATAACACACAAGGTTCACCACAAAGTTGACACCGCAAAGCGGTAAACATCGTCGTTTAAAAACACCGTTGAAATTCCCCGACATGCTCCGCATCACCCCATGGTCCCCTTCGGGGAGATGGTGGAACGTTTTTTTAATATTATAGACTCAGTCAGCGTCGACGTTTTTCTTTTACACAAGTTTGCGTGTGGGTGTCACAAACATGTTCTTTGTTGCAGACTATCGCTGCGTGCTCACGATAAACGGAACACTCTCTTCCGGGACCTGCAAGCAAAATAAAAAAAGAAATACGTGGTTAGAAGAATACCGGGCTAGTGACAGTCTCCTTTTGACATCATCTCGAAATATGCGGCTGATAAAAGGATGCATTCATAAAAAAAAAATTACGACAGCTCGCAGGAGTCAGCAGGATTTTGTCTTGTGGTGCAAATCTGTGTCACGTGGTGGTGGAGGAGGGTTAGCTAGTGTGGCTTGCCTAGGAGGCTACTGGTGGTTAGGCTTGAGTGGGGGCTGGAGTGCCCTTTTTGAACCCCCCTTCCGATGCCCATGAGGCAGCTTCTATCTAAGAAATGTCAAGTCTGAAGGAAGAGGAAAGCTAAGCAGCCTTTGTTTCTCTTTATCCTTTCTTTATTCTTCTGTTTCTTAGTTTTTTCTCTCATCTCAGTTTGTTTTCTGTCTTTTCTGTCTCTGCTTATTTGTATTTCTGTTTTGCTATATCTTTTTCTTTCTACTTTTTTCCTTTTCTCGCTTTCAATACCTCTTTTTCTTAGAAAAGGGCCTTTTAGGCTAGTTATTTTCTTACGTTCAATAAATCAATCGCATTTAATTGACAGGAAATCGAGAGGGCATGCACTTTTTTTGGTCCTGTCCTCTTCCTCAGTCCCTGTCATTTGAGCGCTATTGCTTCATTTGTCTTTCTTTTTTATCTTTATCTCACACGCTCTCTCTCTATTGTCGCTTATTTGCTCTCTCCATTTCTTTCTTTGATTTTCATCTCTCTCTTTCTGTTTCCCTTTCTGATATTCTCCATTCCTTGTGGGCTATGCCTAACTCTCTCCCATCCTCCTTTCGTTCCTCCTCACCCTCACATAGCTTGTAGACCCTTTGCTACAGATACTATACATTGCTCTGCTATGTTCTCTCAGCGTGCCTGGATAGGATCGCGGGTGTTGTTTTGTGGGCCAATGACTCACGATAATCTTTTAACTCAATAAGGGCGCGCACACAGACACGGACACAAGAGCAAAAAAAAAAAAAAATGCACACGTCACAAGCGCTACTCGCAACTAAAGTGTATCCGAAAAAAAAAAAAAGGTTGCTACATATATATTACTTCTGTCACATGATTTGGCAGGTGAAACAGCAAAAACATAAATGGACTATAAAAACACGTGCCTCAGATCAGACTCACAGAGAGCCGATGAGGTATGGAAATTCGCGCCAGTCAACGTGATGTAGGGCGCGCCCACGCACCCGCCCTCTAGCAATGTGAAACGCCTCCACCAACACTCACTCCGGCGGCCCGATCCGGGTGTTCCGAAAGAACAATAGCATTACAAAAAATGGACCGCAACAGCACGAGCTGCAACTCCTTACCAAGACTCGGAATTCTATGACAGCTACCACCCTTCCCCTCTGGTCGTGCGGCATCTAGGAAGCTGTGCAGAGCAATATCAACATGTGCCTTAACCTGTAGGTTGCTGCGTATCTTTCCTGCTGCTTTAATTTTCTTCTTTCATTGCATGCATGGGCGTAGCCGAATACTTTTTTTCGAAGGGGAGGGGGTTCAACCATACGTAATGTACGTCCGTGCATGCATATATGCGTAAAAAGCAACTGAGAGAGGGGGGAGGGGTTGAACTACAGCTAAGTAGTTATGATGTGCCAGACAGGAGATGCGCTCCTTCAGGCCCTTCGGCATACTAAACACTCTTTTACAACATACTCTCTCTGCATAGCATTTAAGTGTAACATGCTTATTTTTGGTACTGTTTTTTTTCTAGCCGCATACGCAGTATGTATTCTAACCTTGGGCCAAGTTGATACTCACCGACCACAGTGCATGCGCGGCAGCACTGCAGCAGTCCCTCTAGTGGCCGTGCCAGTATCTCTCTTTTCACGCAGGGCCTCTTGAAGCATTGCAGGCAGCCGTAGACGCGGTCAGTCTCGAGCAGTCGAATGCTGTAGTACACCGAGTAGAACTGGTTGCTCTTCACAGCATCCAACGCCAGAAGCGCGGCGAACAAGGCCATCGGTAACGATGACCGCGCCATATTTCCGCTGCACCTACAACGGAGCAAAGGGAGATATATACATTGATAACTGTTTGTGGTTACGCAGATAAAACAAAAGTTGAGAACATATGCGCGAATTAGCCGTTTATTTCACAAATTCACTACGAAATATACAGACACAAAGGAAGGGGGCAAAAAAAAAAAGACGCACACACGCGCAAAAACACTTCAGAAGATACACTGCTATCCGCAATCGGACACCCACGTGGCTCGCACGTAAAATAAACAATAGTTAGATGGCGTCTCTTTTCTGCCGTCTTTCGTTTCCTAGTAGCACGATGAAGATTTTCATTAACTGCGACTGAGCTCCATATTACCCAGTGATCTTCGACTCGAACTATTCGCTCGATCCGTGTAGTTAACGATGCGGCTCGATTGAATATGGCGCTACGTTTTGGAGGACTGATTGATTGATATGTGGGGTTCAACGTCCCAAAACCACCATATATGATTATGACAGACGCCGTAGTGGAGGGCTCCTGAAATTTAAACCACCTGGGGTTTTTTAACGTGCACCCAAATCTGAGCACACGCGCCTGCAGCATTTCCGCCTGCATCGGAAATGCCGCCACCGCAGCCGGGATTCGATCCCGCGACCTGCGGGTCAGCAGCCGAGTATCTTAGCCACTTGACCACCGCGGCGGGGGCTATGAGGTATTATCGCCTTTCGTGTGCATATGTTTGAATACGCCCCCTCAATCAGCTCCCTCCCTTGATATTCTCTGGTGTAACTGAGCAGTGAAATGGGTTAGCGAGTGGTGTAGCAACTACACATGTTAATCATTTATGTGCGTACTTGATGTAACTTTGTGTGCTTCTCTGTAAATATTATCGTGAACGGTATCTATTGCTACAAGAATAGATATTTTGATTTTGGATTGGGCCCAAAAGAATTTTTATAAGTTTGTATTACTGTAAGTTACTGTTGCAAATTGTTTTATTATGCGCCTACTTAACTTATACAATTTTGTACACCCGTGTAAACACTCTCAGGAAAGTATTAGCAGAATTTGTAAATAAAAATAATAAATAAATAAATAAATACATGACTAAAGTTTACTCTTTTTTGGCAGTTGCAGTGCATGGAATTAGCAGAAAAATAAGAGGCATGACCTTAGGCATCATCTCGACAGAGCGTGAGACGGGGAACAGGGCCTAACTCTCTCTTCCCCCTATCACGCTCGAAGGAAATTGCCAGACTTTAAGTGAAGCTCATTCATTCATTGATTCGTTCATTATATCCATGTGTATGTATATACTCAAGTAGGAAACCACTCACTACGCTCAGTGAACTTCTATTTGGTCACGGCACTTCCTCGTTTGGACACCGTGAATATTTACACAGAAAATCTTCGGGGGTTCATGCGGTTAGGACCCATGGCTTTCTTCGTCAAGAGGAGGTATTGCTACGAAGAACTTGCGTAATCGCGTCTTTCACTCTGTCAGTCCACTCGAATCGGCGCTACAGAGTCAAAGATTCGGGGTGCCTCTTCTGTCTTGAGTAGGTGCGCGAGGCCAACTCTTGTCACCTCGCATCTACAGGCCTCAAACGGCCCATCGATGTCACCTGCGGCGTGCGGGACGTCCCCACGAGAAGCTACAGAACTGCGTTTACGGTCCACACCTGTAGACTCTCCGGCGACTTTATGCAGGGAACATAACTGCACAATCACGGTGTGATACGCTTTCATGGCGCAGCACAAACTTGGAACGCAATAATAAGCCGTTGGAATCGTATGGGGTGGGGGCATGTTGAAGAGTAGTGCGGATGATTTCGCTAGTGCGTGATACTCTGGAAGAAATCAGTTTCGCTTTCTCGCAGAGATTGTCCGTATTCAACCATAGCCCAGTAAATGAGAACGGAACGGAGATGAGAATTAAAAACCTGTTATTCGAGATATGGGGCTAGGAAGTAAGCTCCACGCCATCTTGCCACGAAACACCACATATCCTCACAAACGCACGAAGGTATAAACTAACTATAACGTCGAGGGAAAGTGAACTGAACTGATGAGGCTTTTCACGCGCGTAACTGTGACGAGATGCAACGTTATAGCACGTGTAAATAAATCAGTAATGCAGGTTCTTACATGTATGAATATTCTGCTAAGGTGCAAGCTTGAGCAAATTAGTTGCGATTCATTCTGATTATCACTGCGCACTCGGAATGAAAAATGAAGATATGCAAGAACAAACAAAAACTGTTTTTAAAAGATAATTTCTTAAAGCCAGAGGAATAGCACCGGTTTGTGAAAAAAATGATGGGCCATCGTGTGTAAGCCGTGGATTCCTGGAATAAGAAACCACTCATTTGTGGGAAATCTGAACGCGCGCGTAGTCCGAAAATAAACTTTATTTTATGTTCCTCTCTCTTGACCTGCAAGGACCATTGAATATTTTGTTAGTGAAATACCCTTGGAGAGAAGATACTGCTTGAGTGGTGCTGCTTAATAAAATCTGCATGCAGCAAATCCAACTCAATGGCACTGTGTCATTTTTCTTTTTCGACAAATCTAAAAGCTCTGTGCCGTCTCCCAAAGATTTCAAACGGTGTAAAGCTGGGAAACTTTCAGCGTTCGATAATTCAAGCGAGGAAAGCAATTGCCGTACCTTCGCACGCCAAAGCCGCAGCTTAACCACCTACTTTTCCATTCTCTGACAGAAAAAAAATTACAAACACACGGCTCCATACCTGTGACCAAGTTCCTTAGTGTCTTGATGGAGTCGAGTCAAAGAGGCTGTGGCGCTGGCTCTACAGGTTTGTGTGGTCACGTTTTATAGCGAATATCGTGGCGTCGTCTCTGCAGTCTCCGAGGCACTGTAACGAACGGCGTCGGAACGCTGATATTCCCTTCGTGGTCGCAGCATACTCCTACTCACACCCTCGCCTATCGCTCAGCAGTCATCGGGAGTTCTTGGGTTACACCGTACATCCGATAGTTGAGACACTCTGTCCAACATTTTTGCTCTGCAGTATTGTTTTCCCCAGACAAGAACAGGTACCGTTGCATAAAGTTCGTTTCCTGGTTTTACGTGCGCTTTCTGTTTATAAATGAACAATTGTATGAGGATTGTGGAAGTGATATTTTTTTTACAACGTACTTCCCGAGCAACAAGGCAAGCCTGAGAAAATTTCAATATGAAAATATCTATAGCCACACTTCCTGTGCTCAGTAACTTCTGAAGCGACAGTTGGCACGAGACGCGAGCATGCGGCACGAGCATGTGCAGTGGCGGTGTCGACGACATCACCAACGCCGGTTTTGAGACTTTGTGCGACTTTAAAAAACTCCGCATTTAAAAGTGCATGCAAACAGCTCGTCCTTAGTATGCTGAAGGGCGTATCCGCACCCTCGGTATCTTTGTTGAAGTGCGAGGATGACGCCATTGTTCTGGAAGCTCCCTGCCCTTCTTGCTACAAGGGCGCATTTCAAGAATGCTTTTAAAAATGTTTTATGCACGAGAATTTTTTTGCAAAGTTTCTAAAGTGCTTCGACTAAGTGAATTCATCACCTCCAGGAAGTTTCGGTGCCATGAATATGTCTTTGGGTGAAAAAAGAAAATGTTTTGTACAAAGAAAAAAAAAAGGTGTCTTGGAGGTGCTGGGTATCGATCCCAGTACCTCTCGCATGCTAAGCGAGCGCTCTACCATCTGAGCTACACCCCCGGACGAAGACGAGGCGTCAGTATGAGTGTCTTCAAGCACGCGCAACCTGCCTTCTTGGATGTCCTCCTTCGACCTATATTGGATTCGGTTGCGTGCACACGCAATCATTACGCAGCCGGTCGCAGCAAGCCGGTGATAAACATCTTGAGTGAACGAGTTTCGCCATTACGTCTCGTATGCGTTTGTCTAAAATAACGGCTAATGGACGCTAAGTGAACGAGCTCTTATGTGCAGTCCGCGTACAAAGTTTAGAAAACCTCTAGGTCTGATAAGACTACAAATTTTCCATCAGTTTGTATCTTCACTCGGTCGAGCTGTGCAGTGCATAATGGAAACGTGTTTTGGAACCCATCAGAAATATAAATTTAAACCAGCCTGCCTAGGTATCAGAAATAATCAGGCTTTTCCTGTGTTTCATGGCCCTTGCACCTTTGACGCTCACCACTTTCAGCACGCGACGAAGTGAAACACTCGCGTGTTTAAGCTTAAAGCATTCAGTCATACGCAATCGAATGCTGGTCCCGTGGTAGTGAAGATAACAGGGGTGGTGGTAATAATATTGATAATTGTATACGAAGTCACAAACAGTGTTACCAATTGGCGCTGAGGAACTGGCGACGAGTATCAGGAATGCATATACAATACATTTTGTAAATGTGTAGCTCATATTTATATCGATACTTAAAACTACACAGAGTATTTTTAATAGCAATTTTAGTGAAACTACAAAGGGAGTTCGAAAGAGAAAGAATAGAAAATTTTAAAGATACCTTCAAAAACGACTTCATTAGGAAAATAACTTCTCCTAGTGGCACTTATTTTTTATAACACCGCCTGAGTTCCTTCGTGTTTTAACGGTGTTGACAGGTGCCTGAGGCAATGGGGTGCATATGCCGGTCCCGAATAATTTCTTTCAACAGGATACCACAATGTGCGCCAGTATTTACACACACATAAAAGAAAGTCTTACGCCAGAAATGCCACAGCAGCCGGAAAGCATTGAATCATTGCACTCACGCGAGTGATGTTTTCTGAATTCAGCCCCTGATTATTTGCGCAATTATTGAGGGGTTTCCACTTAATAGTGCCCACGAGCACTTCATTCACTTCATTATTATAATAAACCTGCAAAAGCATTATTTGAGTTTGAATGCAACTGAAATGCAACAGCAATTATGATGTCACACACACACACACACACACACACACAACACACACACACACACACACACACACACACACACACACACACACACACACACACACACACACACACACACACACACACACCACACACACACACACACACACACACACACACACACACACACACACACACACACACACACACACATATATATATATATATATATATATATATATATATATATATATATATATATATATATATATATATATATATTTGAAGTTTATTGTGACATCATGAAATACAAGTGACATGGTTCATAAGTATTGCAGAAGGAGGTCCCGAAGTAAACACTTTCAGGGGGACCTCCTAGCGATAATGTGTTGATTGGAATACAGGGCAGGCAAATGTCGAGCAAAAGAAAAGCATGTTCGAAACACGGAAAGCAAAAAAAACACAAGAAAAAACAAAGATAATTCAAAAGCATGAAATGCAACAATAGTACAGAAACCTATGCATTAGTACACTCTGAGCAAATCGAGGTGAATTCTAAGTTAACAATTAAGGCGTAAAACAACTCACAATTGTGAAAACACAGTTGCTAAAAGAATGAAAAAGGCAAATGAAAATGAAACAAAGAAAAATAATTATAAGTTAAGGAAACGTGAAAGATGGTACCACGAAATGTTAGCAAAGATGTTGAAGTAAATGTTTCTTTAATTGTGCTTTAAATGATGCTATATTGCGGCACATTTTAATGGACGTAGGTAGTGAATACCAGAGGTAAATACCACAAAACAACGCTGTCTGTTCACCAGAGTTTGAGTGCACCACCGGCAAAAGTAAACTATGTTGTAAGGAAAATCTGGTAGAATTTGGATTTATTAGATTACGGGATGGAATACTGTTTATTTCAATATTATGCTGACGCGCGCGAAATATGACCATACATATTTTAAGATATGGAATGATGGGTAGGGAAAATGCCGAGATTACTGTAGATAGGCGTAGTGGAGTCATTCCAGTTACTAAATGTTATAATCCTCAAAGCTTTACTCTGTAAATGAGTAATCTTAGACAGATGAGTCTATAGGCGTTTCCCCAGGAAGAACAACAGTATGTCAGGTGACTATGAATGAAGGTGAAGTATAGTGAGCGAAGAGTGTGCAAAGGGAAGTGCGGGTTTTAATCAGAACTCGAATTCCAAAAGAAATTTTGGACGAAATAGCGGCATTGTGCTTATCAAACTATAGGTGAGAATCAATGGTAACACAAAGAAACGTGGTTGAGTCAGACGGGAGAATAACATGCGCGTCTATGGTTAGGCGCGGCACGAATGGTATAGTTTTATGTGAAAAGTGAAATAGCATGAATGTAGTTTTAATCGGGTTAATTACGAGCTGATTATTACGGCACCACTGTTCGATATTGGCTGCGTCTTTACCTAATTCTATAAGTAAGTAATCTAAATTAATAGAGGAAAATATGGTGGTGTCATAGGCATATAGATCTAGATGAATTAAGAGATTTTGGAAAGTCATTGATGTGCAATAAAAAAAGGAGAGGTTCTAGTATTGAACCCTGAGGAACACCTTGATTTATTATATGAGAGTTAGAAAAAGAATCGCCGAGTAGAACAAGCTGAGATCTGTTCAACAGATAATTATGTATAAGCGTTAATGTTACCACAAATACCATAAGTGTCCAATTTTGTGAAAAAGATGGCATGATTGATAATGTAAAATGCTTTTGAATGATCCACAAATACGGCCCCAGCAAATAAGCCAATGTCGATGGATTGTTTAAGGTAATCTATGAATTCGATTAGCGCGAGTTCTGAAGAAAAGTTGGGCCTGAAACCGAACTGATAAGGTGTCAGAAGACTGAACTTGCTCAGATAACTGGTCAGTCGAGTAACCAGCAGTTTCTCGATAACTTTGCTAAAGAAAGGAAGCATAGTTATCGGACGATAGTTGTTGATTAGCGTGCGGTCCCCTTTTTTGAACACTGGAACTATTTTGCCTTTTTTTAGTTCCTCAGGAAAAACACCATTCTTAAACATCAAGTTAATTACGTGGGCCAGAGGAATGAAAATCTCCGAGGCAATAAGTTTTATTTTGAACGGATGAACGTTATCTAGGCCAGTACCTGTGAAATTTAGTTGCTTAATTACTTGGGTAATTTCGTGCGGGGAAGCAGGGCTTAAATAAAAAGAATGAGAGCATCGAGGGAGAGAGGAAACAACAGAACAAGTAGGCGCATTGGCCATAGAAAAATGTAGGTTAAAGGCATTGGCAATGTCGGAGGCATTTGTGAGCACTCGTGTACCAGCAACAACTTTTGAAATCCCCGGCTCGGAAGCTTGCTGATTTGAAAATTCCTTGATTAATTGCCAATTTTTGCGGCTGTCATTATCATTGTTAACGATACAATTTCGGTAGTAGCTGCGCTTTGTTTCACTTAACAACATGCAAAGCGTATCGGAGTACTTTTTAAACCGCTGCAAAAGTGATAAGTTAAATGGTTGCATTTTTACTTTTTTACGCAAATTATTCTTTTTTTCAATGCTGCGCAGTAGACCATTGGTCATCCAAGGTTGTCTGGGAACAGAATATTTTTTGACATGTGATGATATACTGGAACATTTATTCATTGCATCAGTGATCTTATCACAAAGTTTACGGAAGGCTGGAATAGCAGAGCTATCGTTTAGGACACCTGTCCAATCAGTCCGAGAAATGATGTTACGTAATTTGTCAGTTCAAAATACATCTTTAGTTACAGTCTTCAGTTTATGTTTCACGTGTCTATTCGCCAAAAGAAATACAGGAAAGTGGTCAGTAAACGGAAGGTTGACAACACCGGCAGAATGATCTGTGTAGTAATATTCGTTAGAATGTGAGTGCTGGAACCACCAGGAACACTACGTGTGGAAGTGGTAATTAAACACTCAAGCCCGTTTCCTTGAAAGCATTTTATAT